TCTCAAGTCTCAACTTGTCACAAGTCTCTTTTGCAAAACGAGAAGAAAAAAGCCTGTGGAAGGATTGTGTCTGCAGTCTGCACCGAATGCACGCCACGCCAATGGGAGCAAAAAAACGACATATGTACAAGTATTTTGGTGTTGGTTACTAGACTCCAAGTATTTATTTTTTTAAATATAGTTTTTGAACACTTGTTGTGTCTACCCTTCCCTCTTCTTGCAGCCTTCACTGTCGTCTATGGTTACTGATTTATTATAGCAAGTGGTGAACTGGTGACAGTAGTTACTAGTTTAGACTACCGACTCCGAGACAGACTGACTCGCCCACAGCCCCACAGCCACAGCCTCACACAGCTGACACAGGCGACTGTGATTACAATTCAACATATATTATTTGTTTGTCATACATTATTTTTTCGAAACTTTCAATCGAATTTCTCATCTATTTAAATACTCCCTCTCGAGAACGGCCCAGAATCCAGATTTAAAAAAATAATAAAAGCTATTGTGGAATTCCGTCACCGGACACCGAGGGGGGCTTTTTTTAGCTATTGAGGTCGACGGAGCCTCCCGGAGATCGGACTCGAAGGATACGGGGAAAATATAATACATAAGTTTGTTTGTTTTTTTAACCCTCTCGACGACTCGACTTTGTATCGGGAATTCGGGAGTGTTCGATTGTCCATTGACAAAAGCACATATTTTGATATTGTCCAATTGATAATCGGGGATATTGTTGTTGGAATTTGGAAGAAAGTGCATAATTGCTCTGTTCCTCTCGATATTTTTGTAATGCAACATTAATGGACCAACAGTTATTGTGATGAAAAACATGCCTTGATAAGTTCAGACTTCAGAAGAAGGGTAGTTCAGGTCAATTCTGGAATTGTCAAATGGAGTCAATGGCAAATGCATATATTTCTATTTATACTGGTTTAAATTCAAAAAATGTTCATTTCAGGCTTTCAGGGGGATTTTTTATATAACCTGATAAAAAACA